ACATGCAGGACCCACAGAAAAGTGACTGATAAAACAAGATGGACATTGCTACAGAATTCCTGCTTCATGGAAGAGTCTGCCAGACATTCTGCAGGACACAGACAAAAATGACTGACAAACTGCCAATACAAGTGGGACAGTTTGAAATTTCCTACTTTGCTGAGAAGTCTGCCAGACATACGTGGCCTATAGGCTGAAGATGAATGCGCCAATTTACAGAAGAACGTCAGATGACTATCCAGGTAGCAAGATGTCTCTGTCATTTCTAGAGTTTATATACTATCCTTCTGTGGTCTTCGATGGAGTCGAAGACAGATAGTATGGTTATAGTTTTCCTTAGTTAGATAAGTTACATGTAAGACTTTAGACTCACAAAGATAGAATAGATGATGGAATATTTTCTTTAAATCTTTTTAAATGTTAATGGACTAAATATTGTTAGCTATAGTTCTTATTTGATAACTGTTTTGTTATATATTTTACTATGTTAAAGTTAAAACCATTTTTATTTTAGACAAAAAAGAGGAGATGATAGAAGATGTCATTCTGTAAATATGTTTCTCTTATTGGTTAATGAATAAAGCTCTGTTGGATGATAGGAAATCAAGACAGGTGGACTAGGAGACAAGGAGGATTCTGGGAGATGAAGTAGAGAGGAGTCAAGATGTAGGATGTGAGAGAAGAGCTAGCCAATAAGAAACTCTAGCCATTGGCCAACACCTTTATAATTAAAAAAAGAATGCATTATTTAATACAGAAACATGTACAAAATGTTAAGAAAATAAACTATGTGTAAGAAAATTTTGCCTACAGAAGAAAAAGAACTTTATCTTCCTAGTTTTTGACCTAGTTTTAAATACACAAACTATCAGGATTTCTCCTTCTTAAAGATGCTGAGACAACATTGTTTGTTCTAGTTTATTCCCTAGATCCATATCCAGAACTGCCAAGCAGCTATTTTATTAGTGTGTGTGTGTGTGTGTGTGTGTGTGTGTGTGTGTTAGAGAGAGAGAGAGAGTCTCACCCTGTACCCCAAGCTGGCCACAACCTCACAATTCTCCTGCCTCAGCCTCCAAAGTGTTAAGATAACAGGGTTTCCCCCTATATTCTTTATCTTTCACAAATGCCTTTCTCTTTCTCTTCTTGTAACTCATAAGGCATTTCATTGGGATGACTGTCTTGCACTGTTTAAGTTTCTCTTTACATTTATTTACTGGTGTACATGTGGTGGAGAGCTATGCCACACAGCATGCATGTGAAGACAGCTGTGAAAGTTTGTGTTCTTGCCCCACCATGTGGGTTCTGGGGACTGAACTCAAGGTTTTAGGCTTGGCAGCATGTGCCTTTACCTGCTGAGCCATCTCTGCCATCTTTTTTTTTTTTTTTTTTTTGTCATTTCTGTGTTTCATCAGTGAGTAGACAAAGTAATGAGTTTCATTTAGTCATTCTTTTAATAAAATAATAATTAATATTATTAGCATGTGTGTGCGTGGCATATATGTGTGTGAGCATGAATGCCATGGCACGGGTGTGGAGGTCAGAAGACAACTTCAATAGGGAACATTCTCTTCTTCCACCTTTATGTGGGTTCCAAGAATGAACTTAGACTCGCAGGCTTCCTGTGACAAGACTTTTACTTGCTGAGCCATCTCACTTGCCCCCATTCAGTCATTCTTCTTCAGATTCATTTTATTTTTAATTCAGAAAACAGCAGGCCTGTCAGCGATATCAACTGAACATGACATAACAAGCCACAAACCCTCATATCAGAGCTGGATGGGGCAACCCCATAGGTGGAAAAGGGTTCCAAGAGTAGCCAAAACAGTCAGGACACACCCAGTCCCACAGTTAGGAGTCCCTCAAAAACATCAAGCTATACAATATAACATGTATGCAGAGGACCTAACACAGACCCATGCAGGCCCTGTGAATGCTGCTTGTAGTCTCTGTGAACCTACAAGCTATGAGCCCTGCTTAGTTGATTCTGTGGGCTGTGTTCTCCTGGTGTACTTGACCCCCCTGGCTCCCACAATCCTTCCACCCTTTCTTCCACTGGGTACTGCCCACCCATTCCTACACCTTAGGCTTCTGGAAGCTCTTTCAACTTCCTGTGTCTCCATTTCTGCTTTATTTATTTACATATTTATTAAGATTAAATTAGCAAATGCATGTTAATTTTAAAACTTCTAGCACCCAGGAAATGTTGTGTCAAGTATCACCGTTACCAATTATCTTCATCTCATACACGGCCTCAATTCTCATACTGGCCCTGTGTCAGAGATGTCTCACAAATAAGCAACAGGGAAGTATAAACTTATGAACGTATCCAAGGCTACAGAACTGGAAAGAAACAGAGACAGAAATCAAATCCGCACACCTCTCACACCCACTCTGTACTGTTTTCCTTTGTTTTTCCAAAAATCATTTCGTCATCATGAATATTCATGTCCAGTCAGTGTTGCCTATGATGTAATTGCTGAGCTCACAAAATTAACTCTGATTCGGGCTAGGTGACCTAGTGGTCCATATCCATCTTGGTCTTCCCACAGGTGCAAGCAACACTTAGCATTGCCCCTGAGAGCTTACCTCAAGAACGTAAATAACAGGGTGGAGGGATGGCTCAGTGGTTAAGAGCACTTACTGATCCAGTAGAGGACCAGGGTTCAGTTCCCAGCACCAGTATCACAGGCAGCTCACAATTTCTTGTAACTCCAGCTTCGGGGGATCCAATTGACTTTGGTGTCTGTGGACATCTGCATGTACCTGCAAACATCACTCACACAGGCACACATGCATACAAATAAATATTTAAGAAGACTAAAGTAACTCAAAAAGAATAGAGACATCATTTCTGTACATTTCATATATCTGTCTCCTTAGACTGTCCCCTTCTTGGAATATCCTATGTGGAAGTTTTAGAAGCAGAAATATGCTTTATGGATGGAAATAAGATTATTTTATCAGATGAATCACCTAACTCAAAAAATTAAGGTTTTGGTCCATTTAAAAATTTCATTTCCAGAACATTTTTTTTTCTTTTTTTCCTAATGTCTCATTACCATTTTCTTCTCTATCTACAACCTAAGCTTAAATCCTATGAGCTCAAACACCAGAAAAGACATTGCCACACCCAGGTCCCTAAAAAGGAACAAGTGAAGATGGCTGAGTTCACATTTGCTGCTATGACAACGTTTCGTCACCAAGATGACTCATTCATCATTCTGAAGGGTGGTGAGCCCAAGGTTACCGTACTCACAGACCCAGTGTCTGATAAGAACTCCCTTTGTGCCTCATAGTGGCACCTGTCATCTGTCCTCACATGACAGAAGAGACAAGGGACCTACCTACCTCTCTCACACTGTACTGGCTGGTTTTATGTTAACTTGACACAGCCTAGTGTCATCAGAGAGGAAGGAGCCTCCGTTGTAGCAGGCTATCTTTTGGGCACCAACCAGCTCCCAAATCATGGAGACTTGTTAATTATGAATGCTTGTCCCACTGGCTCTTATAACTTAATTTAACCTGTTTCTCTTCACCTACATTTTGTCTCATTTTTACCTTTCTTTCATTATGTATGTCCTACTTTTTCCATCTTCTTCTGTGCCTGGCTGACTAGAGGATGCCTGGCTGGCTGCATGGCTGGCATCAGGTGTCTCCCTTTCAGTCTCCCTCATTCTCTCTCCTCCCAGCCTAAATTCCTCCTCCTCCTTCTCCTCCTTATTCTCTCTGTCTGTCAGCGCCTGCCCCATCCCTCTACTGCCTAGCTATTGGCTGTTCAGCTTTTTATTAGAACAATCAGGTGCCTTAGGCAGGCAAGATGAAACAAATGTAACACACCTTTACATAGTTAAACAAATACAGCATAAACAAATGTAGCATCCATTTACATAGTTCAAGTTATATTCCACGGCATAAACAAATATAACACATCTTTACATAGTTAAACAAATACTCTATTCCACAACACTCAGTTAAAGAAATGCCTCCATAACATCCATCTCTAAGGCTCTTCTTAATTAGAGATTGATGGGGGAGGGCCCAGCCACTGTGAGTGACGCCAACCTTGAGATGGTGGTCCTTGGTTCTATAAGAAAGCAGGCTGAGCAAGCCATGTGAAGTAAGCCAGTAAGCAGCATCCCTCTATGGCTTCTGCATCAGCTCCTGCCTCCAGGATCCTGCCCTGTTTGACTTCATGTCTGACTTCCTTCAACATTGAACAGCAATATGAAAGTGTACGCCAAATAAATCCTTTTTTCCCTCAACTTGCTTTTTGATCATGGTGTTCTGTTACAGCCATAGGAACCCTAACCAAGACAACAATACAGGTCTCATCATATTTGCTTTGCCCTAGTGACCAAGCCACTTCCCTGGGAAATCTACCTCCTAGTACCATTACTTTTGGTGCAAGGATTTCAAAGGATGAATTTGGGGAAAACACAAATATTCAGACCATAAATCTGTTTTTACAGAAAGCATAGAGATGGGAGAGATTTAGAAATCTAAATATAAGAATAATGAAGATAGAAATCACTGAACAAACAGAAAAGCTTGAAAGAGTTAAATTCGCTATGAATGTCCAATATTTCTACAGCCTTTGTTCAGTAATGCATAAAAGGACTTTAGCAAACATATTCATAATAATTTGGGGGGAGAGATCTCTTAGGCTCTCCTCAGTTGGCCAAATGCCCAAATTTAACACTGTTACCAAAAGGAAACAAAAACCTGACATAGAGGAAACAGATTGCCCCTGAGCTCACCAAGCCATTTATACCCCAGTGAAACTGACACGTGACACTCTGTCTACCAGGACTTTAATCTCCTTCCCTTTTGCATGGAAGACTTTTGAAATTTACTCAGAATTTAACATGTTGGGAGAATGAGATTAAATGAAACAAATCTTTTAAACAAAAGAGACAACAGGGATAAAGAAGCAGGACTCTGCTAATCTGTAATACTCTGTACTGATTGCCTTGTTTCTTTTTTTAGTTGATGATATTAAGGGTCCAGGACAAAAAGAACATCACTCACAAGAGAAACCAGGAACTCCGCTGACTAAAGGCACAGCAGATTCTTGGGCATTTGGATCTCTTAGTATTCATATTCACCGAACCTTTTCTCTGAAGGAAAAAAGTGGGGGGTGGGGTGGAAGGAGAAATATAATATAAAAGTTAGTTTTGTGTTAGAAGCAGTCTAGCTACAATGCATTCTTAGAGCCACACAAGAAGGAAAAACTTTGAGCAATACATTCGTTGTTCCCTCTAAGAATAGTAGCCCCCTAAGGCTCTTTTAAAAATACTCTAAGCACAGTTTTTAATTTCTGTCCATTTATAAGATGAAATTTGGTCTTAGTAGCTCAACAATTCATTTACTCAACAAATATTCTTGGAGAACAATTAGAGAATCCAAAAGGAAACAGGAAGAGAGAAAACAATATTTCCTCTCAACTTGCAGAGATAAAAAAAAAAAGAGAGAGAAGATCAACATAGGCCTAGAGCCTCAGGGTGACCCTCCCTTGCCTGTTATCTGTGTGGGGCTTAAGGTGAGGAAGCTGATATCATAGGCCAGCAATTCACATGACATTCCAGGATGCTCTGGGGGAAAGTCATCCCAGACAAAGAAAGACTGCAGGCTGGAACATTCCTTGCCTATCTCTCTACAAACTTCTAGCTTAGAATTGAATATCATGCATCGTTACTACTCAGTACCCTTCCATGTTGCAACCTCCTATTGTCCCTCTGCAATTCTCATCACTCTGGCTTACCTACTACTCTCCCATGCTTTCCATCTCTCACTTCTTGGTGTCAATGTCAATATCCCATGTATACCCCATCCATTTGGGCCTTAACCTCCTCTCTTGAAAGATCTTCGCCTACATCTTGTTTTAGTCACCCTCCCCATGGTCAGTTCTTAGATGAGTCATTAGCAATAACTATGACTTCTCCTTTTCTCGATTTCCAGACACTCTTTAACCATTGCCTCTGTCTTTCCAATTCACCATCTCAAGTCAAGTCCCCCAACTTAAATAGCTTGTTTAATGCCATCAGGACCTAGAATCCAATGACTTTACTGCTTTCAGGTACACGTTAAAGGTAGAACCTAGGGCTTACATGGGTGCCTGGCAAGTGTTCTACCACCAAGACACAACCCCAACCCTCTTACCACCCTTTCTCGGCCCTTTTCCTCACTTCCATCCTTCATCTTCCCCAGCTTAAATCTTCATCTTTCCCTCCATCTTAAATTCTGCTGCTGATCTCTATATTACCAGTGCACACCCATCTGTCTCCATCTGGCATGCAGCATGAGAAAACTCTAACATCTGGTTGATCCAACTCTATTACCACTGTGTGTCTACACTCAAATAACTGAGCTTGAAGAAAAACACACACTGGTGCCCAGTGACCTCATTTTAATTTAAAAATCATCAACTTCAAAAGTGCTTTTGTGCTACAAAAAAAAAAAAAAAGAAAGAAAGAAAGAAAGAAAGGAAGGAAGAAAGAAAGAAAGAAGGAAAAGGAACTGCTCTATTTCTGTAGTTGGTCTTTCCTAGATGATGGCTGCACTCTTTTTCAGCACTGCAGGGCTAACCTTACACTTAGCTGACGAGTTGACTCCTATTTAACTTCTCTCTCAAATAATCTACTCTCCATCTCCATCTTTTTCGATTCTTTAGTAGTATTCCACATAATTAAACATTCCTTCTTCTCTGAAATGTTTTTTTCCCTTGGTTTTCAATTTATTTCACTCTTCATGCCTTCTCTTTCTCCTTTACTGGGTTCCCTTCATCTCCCTCGCCCACAATTGAATATATGACTAGGTACTTGGCATTCCCCTCCAAGGGTTCACATGGGCTTCTCTAACTAAAGATGCCCCCCAAAGAAACCACAATGCTTCCTAGAAAAACATTAACCTACCCATTCTCTTACTGAAAGAACATCTTAGTGAGCATGGACTCCTCGCTTTCCCTTACATCCTTCACTTAATCTTTTAACAAATTCTGTTTGCTATACCTTCAGAAATGTAAACATAACCCAGTCTCTTTCTGTTACTTCCACTCCTGACACCTAGGGTCAAGACACCATCTTCTCTTGCCTGGCCACCTTGGTCCTACCCTTGCTTCTCTGTGCCTACTCTCAAGAATAACAGGAACGAGCTTTATAAAATACAAGCCAGATCATTTCATTCCTCTGTTCAAAGGCTTTGCATTTCCTCTCAGTATGAGAAAAATCCAAAAATCCTTACACTGCTCTACTAGAAACCACACAGCGCTAGCCGCCTCTCATTTTTCTAGCGTCTTAAGCCTTACACGCTTGTGACTAACTCTTTCCATTCCAACCCCTGGCCTCCATGCTGCTTCTCAAGCCCACCATTCCTGCTTACGCTAGGTCTGGCTTCCATATCTCTGCTCCAGTCTTTGTTGAAACTGAACATGGAAGTGAGGCTGTCTATGGATAGTCTCACATTACAACTCCCCCTCTACTCCCTTCTTTCTGATCTGCCTCCTACCTTTTGTTTTCCTTTATGTGGCTAGTAACCATATGATCTAGTACATGTTTTCCTTAATATTGAAAAATACATATAGAAAATTATGTAAGTGTCCGGTACTACTTACTAGACAACCAGCACCCACACCCCAGAAATCTCCTCATCTTCTTCTAGACTCTTTACATCCCCACTCCGAGGGATACCAGTATTCTGACTTCCTTCACACAACATAGAAGATTTTCCCCCATGGTATTGAATTTCAGGTAAGTGGCCTCATATGGTAACATCAACACACTTTAATTGCCAGTTTACTACGTATTCCTTCCCCACTAATAGTGTGAAGTTTCATGAGTGTAAGAATTCATTTTATTCACTGGTTTGTATCTCGTGCTACAAAGAGGATATGGCATGGAGCTGGAGCTCAACAAATATTTGATGTGCAAATGAACAAAATATTAAACAAACAGATATGAGCATAAGAGAAGGGTCCCAGATGTGAGCCAAGTCTTGGGAATGGGAAGGAGTTCATGAGGCAGATCAAGGAAAAGGTATTCCAGAGAGGCAGAGTGTGCACAAAGGCTTGGCACTGTGAAAAAAATAGACACAGTCTGAAAGCCTCAGGACAGGGTAAGCCCAGAGCAATGAGCAATGGCTGTATCATGACATGCTGCAGAGCTGGGAAAACAGGCAGATGCCAGATCTCAAGGGTCTCACATTAATAAATAAATGGGGGGAATCTAGAGAGAAGTAAAATATGAGGGCTTTTTAGATAGTTCTAGGACATCTTAAGGGTGTTGAAATTTTAGAGGGTAAAAACAACAGTATTTCTTTTGAGGTCAACTCATTAATAATGTATCCTAGTGTTCTCAGAAGAAACTCCCAGGCCCACTGTAACACTCACAGACATCAAGTTTGTCTGAATGTGTGGGAAAGAATTAGAAGTCTGGAAGATAAGTGAGCCCCCTCCCCTCCTTTGAAGGAAAGGCCAGCTCATGTGGGAAATTTAAATGCATAAATCTGTCTGGTTTGGCCTGTTTTGCTGGGCTGGGGGAAAGCTGGAGTAGCTCTACCTCCCTCATCTCTTAGATAGGGCTCTGAGGAGACCACACCCTGTCCCCACATGCAGGAAAGGACAGAGGTGCTCTGGCTGTCATTACCATCTGCCACAGCTTACATCCTACACCAGCACATTTTGTACTTGAGTGTGGGTCACAATCACCTTGAGGACATATCAAAACTCAATACTGAGTCTACCCCAGGTTTTCCACAGGTCACAGTGGGATCCAAGAATGGACCTGTCCTCGAATTCCCTGTGGTGACAGTATGGCTGGCCTGGGGAATCACTACCCTGCACTCTTGCCTGAACCCTAAACCAGACATAGAATTTTATAGTGTCTCCTTTTTCTTCTTCCAGAGGTGTGAATGCTCCAGCCCTACCATCCTCCAGCTTCAATGTCTCCCTCTTACTGTTTGTATCATTATGTTTTATCAGGTAAAATATAGGGAATCCAGTTAAATTTGATAAATAACATTAATACATTTTAGATATATAATATTTGATGTAGATAACATTATTGGTTACCAAAAATTTAAAGTTTGTGTTCATTAGTTAAGATTCTGGTCAAATTATTTAAAGTTCTGATTTCTTCATATAGAAAGGGACAGTAACAAGCAATTATCTTGTAGGGCTAGGTTAACGACTTAAAATAGGTTAATGACTTAAAATGTTGGCTGGGGATATGGCTGCATGGGCATGAAGATCTGAGTAGGGGTCTCCAGCATCCAAATAAAAACTGGGTGAGGCAGTGCCCATGTGTAATCCCAGCCCTGGCGGAGCAGAGGCTAGGCAGATCCCTGGGGCTGGCTGCCTAATCGTTGTAGTTGAATGGGTGAGCTCCAGATTCAGTGGGAAAAACTATCTCAAAAACCAAAGTAGAGAAGCAATTGAGGAAGAAGACTAACACCAGCCTCTGGCCTCCATCCTTGCACATAGATGCAGATGCACCCCGAACACATATGTGCACACACAGACACAAACAACACACATGTAAAGTTCCAGGAACATGGTAAGTGGCCCCATAGATGGCTGCTATGACTACTCAGCCTGTCATATCAGGATATGAGGAAGCTTGAGAACAGAAGCCTCTCTGGGAGGAACAGCCACCTCTGTCTGGACAAGAGTTGTCATTCCCTGAAGCATAGTCTTACCCCCTCCCCAAACCCAGGGGATTCTACCTCAGCACTATTTCTGACCCCAGGCTACAAGCTGCTGTTCCTGAAGCTTCTTTAAGTCCCCAAAGTGCTCAGAAGTGCCTGCTACATTTGGCATTCAGTAAATATTAATGAGCCGTGGTTTCTGTGTGGTGAAGTACAGCCTATTCCCACTACCCCTCGGAGTTGTGCTGCACTTACTAGGGTATCGCCGGATGGATCTGATGGGCCGGTTATTTTCATTTGTCTCCGTAATATGGCAGACGTATTTTTCATTTAACTTGACTGGATATTTGAGGACAGAGTACACTCTGAACAAGCCATTCATCTGCTCCTCCAGGACCTCTACCGTACTGTGGTTGCTAATGTCCCTTTCTCCCCGATCTAACCAGGTCACATTGGGTGTGAGGTACCAGCCCTTTGATGTGCATGTAACCACATCTTCATCATCAATCTTGTCAAACTTCACCTGGGGCATTTCAGAGTCTGGTTGGAGAAAAAACAAAAAACAAAAAAGAAACAAACAAACAAAAAAAAAAAAAAACACAAAAAAAAACCAATGTAATTAGTTACTTTTTGGTTTGTTTGTTTTGGTCCCAGAAGGTTCAAGCCTTCAGTGTTTATACTAACCCCTCCACTCCCCCACCACATAGAGACAGCATGCCCAGGTTCACTGTAGCTAATATTTTGACCCCAGCATAGTAAGAGAAAAGAGGATATGTTGCCATCTAGGCCCCTATTGCTGCTGTCTTTATTAGGGGGTCTTCCTTTGAGGGTCTTCCTTCTTGATGTGGGTTCACTCCACATTTTTCACTGACCTCAGATGCCCTAACTGAAAATTACAGAAGAGTGTATGACTACACCACTCTGAATGAACTCTCATCTGATCTTGAAGGCTAAGCAAGGTTGGGCCTACTTAGTACTTAGTTGGGGAAATCACAGAAGTAATAATGCTGGGAGGTGGCACATGCCTGTAATTTCCACCACTCAGAAGGCTCAGCCAGGAGGATTGTTGTGAGGTCAAGCCCAAACCAACCCACATAGAAAGATTCTGTCTTGCTAGGCAGTGGTGGTGCATGCCTTTAATCCCAGCACTCTGGAGGCAGAAGCAGTAAGATCTCTATGAGTTCAAGGCCAGCCTGGTCTACAAACAAGTTCCAGGACAGCCAGGAATTATACACAGAGAAACCCTGTCTTGAAAAAACAAACAAACAAATAAAATATCCTGTCTCAAACAACAATGAGAGAGAGAGAGAGAGAGAGAGAGAGAGAGAAACAATTCTTACCATCTTCCAATCTCTTTTCAACTCTTACTCTGGAGGGAGGAGGCTGCCTTGCAGGACAGGAAGCCCCATGAGCTCTCTGTCAGAAAGGACACAGTTTTCCAAGCAATACTGGAAAATAAGGGTTCAACACTAGGAGAATATGGATTCAACCCAATCAATGTCTTTCAAACTACTTTTCATATTTTTAAACTTCTTATTTTATGTATGTGTGTTAGCTACACATATGTCTATGTACCGTGGACATGCCCCGTGCTCGTGGAGGCCAGAGAGTGGTTGGATCCCTTGGAACTGGAGTTACAGATGATTGTAAGCTATGATGTAGGTGCTTGGAATTGAACCAGTGCTTTCATCTAATGAGCTATATGCTTTATAGTAAGAATAAGAAGCCCAGAGAAGCTAATGGATTGCCCAATGCCATCCAGATTTAGAACTCCAGTCTCCTGACTCCCAGTTTAGCGCCATTCACACTAAACTGTGTCTGACCTTAGCATCTTCCTATGGGACTATTGTTGCATCAGTGGTGTGTGTGTGTGTGTGTGTGTGTGTGTGTGTGTGTGTGTGTGTGTGTGTGTGCATGCGCTGCAGGGGGCAGTTGCAATGTGTAACATTTGGGATTCAACCAGTGCAGCTTTGGTTGCCCTTCAATTCATTCGTATCAATGAGCGAGTGATGGACTGGTTTAGACATAGCACCTTTTGTTCAGAGAAACAGTTCAGAGGAAAGTAAATTGATATCTCTTTACTCTTAAGATAGAAATAAAGTAATCCTCGTTAGAAAAATGAGGCCAAGAGAGAAAATGTAGAGTTTATGAACAGAGGCCAAACTTGAAGCCAAGCTTGTCCATGAAGTCCCTTTACCTTCCACTATCAGCTTGACCTTACTCTCGCCTCGGCCGTTGGGGGTGATAGCAGAGCACTTGTACACAGCTTCGTCCATGAAATCCACGTTCCGCAGCAGAAGGGACAGAACACCCTCGGAAATCTCGTTCTGATCCACAGAGACCCTTCCCTCATATAAGGCATTCTGGTCCTCAAGTTGCTCTGCCTTGTCGTAGAACTGGTAAACCACCTTTGTGTACACTTGAAAGAAATCGTAGTACTTGAAAAAGCGGTAAAAGTCACGGTCTTCCACCTCATATTCCTCTATTATGTCTTCCCTTTCCCAGTAAAACTCAAGGTCTTCTGTGCTCTCTATAAAGGAGAACTCGCAGTCGAGGGTCACATCAGTGAACGGGTGCGCCCGCACCTCTTCTGCAGACACTAGATCGTCAAAGAAGTGAAATTAGTAAAGGCTGATGACCACGGCTTTGAGTAAGGGACAGCAGCAGACCAGAGAAGGGTTTACTGGAGGGGACTGGCCATTTATAGAATCACTAAAAGACTGGAGAAGTGAGCCCAAAGGTGTGCGGGGAAGACGTAGCTGGTCATGTGTGTTCTACCTGCCCCCTGTGTTCTGCTGGACTCAGAATGACACAGCAAAGTGGGTCTGTCAGAGCCTACCTGTCTGGAAGCTGGGTTGCAGTAGGTGTTGGCTCCAAACCCAAGCTGTGCTTGCCAGATTAACACTGGCAAAAGAAAACTGCCACATGCACTGTGCAATGTAACCTTTCCATCCCTCAGTCAGCTGCCAGCTGAGCCCTTAGGTAAACATCTCTGACTCACAGAGCAGGCGTCACTCCCAGAACCCTACCGTCGAAACATTATTGAAAATGTTCCTTATTCTCCACTTTAGCAATCCAGGAAGGCACATTGGAATGGTGGAAAGATGGTTTATACATGAAAATCTTTCAATAAACCTATTCTACCTGCTGCAAATACCTCCCAGCCTGGTCAGAGTTCTCACTGGGGGCCCAATGATTGTAGAAACCACAGCCATGAACTATATAGGTCTCATGGATTTTTGGCATGTGGTAGCTGAAGGTTGACAGGTCACTTGACTCCCCCTTCTCTGTGTATGTGTGTGTTTCTCTCTCTCTCTCTCTGTGTGTGTGTGTGTCTGTCTGTCTGTCTGTCTGTCTGTCTGACTCTCTCCAAAGAGATACCAAGCTTCAAAAAGGAGGAAGAATTGGTATGTGGAGCTCAGTGTGTGTGTGTGTGTGTGTGTGTGTGTGTGTGTGTGCGCGCGCGCGCGCGTGGGCATATACAGAACCCTGACTCTATCAGCTTATATGTATTTTGTGTTTATAATATGCTAAACATATTGTAAGGTCTTTCTTTTCTGGATTTAACCTTCATCTGCAGACTACACTGAAGCAGATACTATCAAATACCAGGAGGTGGGGTTGTTTGGGGGCACACAGTTCACTTTGTGAGCAGAAGTAGACTGCTGAGTCTCGGGACTCTGGTTCCAAAGCTCTTCATCTAAAATGTACGCTTTCAGCTAATAATCATTCTTTTCAAAGTGACAAGCGAATCAATTACTGAGGAAACAGATGAATGAATAAAAAGAAAGACAAGATAGAAGGGACGACATAGGAAGAAACAGCTTATGCAATGGTTGCAAGGATGAATTTGCACAGTTTCTAAAGTCTTGGTCTGAAAAATTACAAATCAAAGCTCTAGTGCTAAGTTACCCTTTACTAATCATGTGGCTTCAGGCAACTTCATCTCTCTGAGTTTATTTCTGTATATATAATTAGGACACCACCTGCTCCAGGTGGTAGTGAAACACCTTGGGATTTTAGTGACTGTTTTTATGTGACAGGACTCAGTCATCTTCCAGAGGGACATGACAAAGAGACCAGCTGTGCGTAGCTGCACTCATTCCGATCTCTCTTATCAGAATGTGTAGTTTACTCTTTGATGGATCATTGGTTTTATCATCCAGGGTTCAGCCTCCGAGCTCTTGCTACAACTGTACCTTTTATGACCTTGGAAGGAAAGGCTTCACACTCTGGAGTCTAAGAGTGACACAATCAGCCAAGGCTGGATGTCATGTCTCTAAGTATTGTGTCTGCACTGTCCCCAGTCCTGTCTAAATATGCCTTTCATCTTTTTCAAACTGTTGTTTCTAGGCTGTTGTCTTTAGCTCCCCCAGGTCTAAAAGACCAAGACAAGAAAAGCACCAAAAAAGCTAAAATTGTACAAAAATTCCTTGAAAATCATACAAAAATTATGATGGGCATCTAACACATTGCTACAGTACCTGGCATGCCATACCATGTTGATAATATTGTTACAAGATATATTACTAGAGAGGTACTGAGAGATTTCCTTTCTCATTCTCATCTACATTAATTTAAATGTTTTTGTAGCACTTTTAGTATGAGTGACTGTCAACTCACTTTGCCTCTGTCCCTTTACCTACACACACACACACACACACTCTCTCTCTCACACACACACACAGTCAATCATCAAATGAAAAGAGCCAAGAAATATCACCAGTGGACCAAGACCTGCACTAACTTCTGAGTTATCTCTGGGTACTAGGGATACTCTCCAACTGCTGTTGCCCATGGGAGATGAGAGCCGCTATGGGTTCCTGTGAGATGGCATGTCCCCGAGGACTATAATATGTTTGGTCACTGTATGGAGTAGTTATATTGTAGGGCTTGTATGCATAGTGTCTTTAGAAACCTTCAATTATATGCTTCAGATTAGCTTGATTACATTAACCACTTTAAGATCTGCACCTGACAATCAACAACATTGATGTAGACTTGAGCACAAAATGTTAACTTATGACCATCCGGATTTTGTTTTAAGACAGGGCTGATTTCAAATTTGGTACTTTCACAGGTCACTTGAAGGTGGGGCATCTGTGTGTCTTTTCTGTTCTGTTGGGAAGTTTGCAATCAACGTGGGGGGGGGGGATGAAGTTAGTCACGTGGCTGTGGCTTCAAATGAACACACCTAATTTGGAGAGAGGGGATTCTTGTTGATGTTGCAAAATGTATGAAATATTCTCCCACACATTTCACCACAGTCTGTAAAGTAAATAAATGTTGGCTTTTCACATTTAACAAATAACAAGGCTGAAATTTGAAGAGAGTCAATCATTTGCTTGACTGGTTATTTGGTTTGTTTGTTGGTTGGTTGGTTGGTTTTGTTTCTTATCTCTGCAGCATTGTCCTCACTATCTCCTAAATGGTTTCCAAAATGAAGAGTTTTTGAAAAGGACTCACCTGTACAGTGAAGAAGCAGAAGTAGGTTGGCCCACATCAAGAAGAAAGCCATTCTGTGAAGAACAGAAAGGCAGAAGTTTGCTTCAGCTAAGAGATAATCTGGTCCGCATAGCCACAGCCACCTGTGAGTGCGGGGTCTTCATCAGCACCACCTCCACCCTCCAGACCTGACTGAGGCTCCCACAACCTGTTCTCCATGTGCCAACGCCATCTGAGTGACAACATGCTGCCACTTGAAGGAGTTCTAACACAGAAGCACACAGGTATGCAGGTAAAGTAAAGGTATAATACTCGAACTGAATCCAACCTCCCACTTGGCCAATTTCTTTTTCTGTCTTATTTTGTTGATTTGATGTTGTTTTTTGTTGTTGTTGTTGTTGTTTTATTTTTTATTTGGAGACAAGGTTTCTCTGTACAGCCCTGGCTGTCCTGGGCCTTGCTCTGTAGACCAGGCTGACCTCAAACTCAAGAGATCCACCTGCCTCTGCCTCTGGAGTGCTGGGATTAAAGGTGTGGGCCACTACTTTCCAGGATATTTCTCCACGATTAAAGTTGTACTAATACATCCCAATATCATGGTACCACCCCACGCCCACTATTGCCTGCATCCTTCCTGGCCTCATTGCCCCCACAGACAAACTGTTTAAGGCAGCTCTCTTGAAGTCCTTCTCACCTTACAGCCAGCTAGTCATTCCTTCTGCATCACCCTAAGCATAATTTTATTGCACAAATCACACTGTAGGCAGCTACTTTTTCCATGTGTTCTGTATCTCTTTCCATTTCAAAGAAAGGCAAGAAAACGATTCCCTCTCAGCATATAGTCTGCCCTCCTTTCTTTCCTGTTACTTACTAAGTGGGGAGAAACATCCCAGCACTACTTTTGATACATTGTAAGTACTATGTGTCAAATATCTCTCCATGGAAGATACAATAAAATATTTTGAAACTAGACCTAAATTAATATGAGTTTAATGGGTAGTATGACCAATAACAGCCACTATGGCTATTGTAGTTAATAGAGAAAAGAAATAAACGTCATGGAGAAAAGGGTTCTAAAAATACAATATGTGTTTTTATAACTCAATAAAATTTGTGAACTCTTTTTCGTCATTAGGAAAAATAGAAACTCCAAGGCCTTCCTAATTCCCTTTCACCTCCAGTTACACAGAATTTCCACTCCTCTCCCTTTGTGCTGCTGTGTAATCCTCGTACACATTTAATAAAGCTTTTTTTCAATGGTCCTAACAGGAACACAGGCTTCATGTAAAACTAATTTTAATAGACAAGAATATTAAAGTCACCTTCAACTTATCCTCTTTGTCTTATAGCTGTCCACATTCATATTTAACTACAACTCTACTGGGCTGCGCACTCATCAACAGGACTAGACTCTCAGAGTAGTCTATATAATTCTAATCCAATAAGTATTCATTCATAGAATTAAATGCATCTGGCTTAAGATTTTTACAAAGTTTCACTGTATAAAGGTGGGGGGGGTAACAACCTCCCCGCCCCACCCCCAAACTCAAAACAAACAGATTTATGCACTAATAATAATGAGAGTACATTATCCTAAAACAGAAAATTCCAGCCCTGTAGCCAGGCCTTGCCTCTAGTGGTTATACCTTCTTGATGTCCGATTTGCAGAAAAACCACAGAGAGGTCCATGAAGCATGGCTGTGGCAAGAGGAGCATGAAGGGACAAGGCACAGTTGACACAGAGAGCGCAACACTTGAGTCACGCCAAGAGTCGCTTGACTGCCACCAAATCTTCCCAAATAGACAATCTCTTTAGGCAGAGGGCTTACCTGTTTGCCAGCTGGTTTCTCTGATCAGCCAGAAGCAAGTGAGGCGGAGCCAGCACATCTTTGAAGGAATAGTTGTGTAGCGGTCCTCAGGGAGATGGCTCCGAGAACTGCTATTACCAACCTGTTGCCGCAGATGCTGAGTAAAGAACTGTTCAGTCATAGCTGTTAACTGAAAAAGTCTTTCAAGGTGTTACGCTGAGAACTAAAAAGAAAACTCCAAACCTCTGTTAGGCAATTATTCTGCGCTCATTTTTTTTTAATCAAAAATTTGAAGACTAATAAAATGGCATGTGAGAAATTTTGGTTAAAAAAAACAAAGTATGAAACTTTATAGGCACATGATAACATGATATATGATGTCAACCTCGTGAGGGGAAATGTGTGCTCATGGAGGAGGAAAATAAATGTATCATAATAATAACAGGGATTATTTCGGTATGATGGAATTGCGATTCTAGTGTATTCATTGTGTATTCCTGAATTAGTGACCTTTTTTATGACATTATAACAAAGACTGTAAGTGGAACAATAGCAGACTTTACACACTTACTATGGAACAGAGAATGGGAGTCCAGAAAAGAGTGAGCAACGTTTTCTCCTCTTGTTGGTCCTACTGAAGCTTCATCCATTAACACACAATTTCAGTAATGGAAGGTTCTTTTGTTGTTGTTGGTTGGTTGGTTGGTTTTGGTTTTTGAGACAGGGTTCCTTTGTGTAGCCCTGACCATCCTGGAACTAGATCTGGCTGGCCCCAAACTCACAGAGATCCACCTGTTTCTGATTCCCAAGTGCTAGGATTAAAGGTGTGTGCCACCACCACCCTGTGGGAAGTTTTTTATTGAGACATCTCTTTCCCTTTCCCATCCACACAGCACATAAATTGCCATCTCGTCTTAACTGGGTTGGCTGCATCTTGACCTTCAGAATAGGCAAGGTGAATATGGACCAGGATGTGAGTGAGCCCATGTGTTTGTCAACAGAGGCTTTGTAGCAGGGCAAATAGCATGATGACAAAGCTGCAGGGGACCTCTAGCTGGAAATCACACAGGACCACACACTGTGTGTTCATTTGTGGCTGGGAGTCATACAGGATCACACACTGTGTGTTCATTTGTGGCTGGGAGTCACACAGGATCACACACTGTGTGTTCATTTGTGGCTGCGAGTCACACAGGCTCACACACTGTGTGTTCATTTGTGGCTGGGAGTCACACAGGCTCACACACTGTGTGTTCATTTGTGGCTGGGAGTCACACAGGCTCACACACTGTGTGTTCATTTGTGGCTGGGAGTCACACAGGATCACACACTGTGTGTTCATTTGTGGCTGGGAGTCACACAGGCTCACACACTGTGTGTTCATTTGTGGCTGGGAGTCACACAGGATCACACACTGTGTGTTCATTTGTGGCTGGAAATCACACAGGATCACACACTGTGTGTTCATTTGTGGCTGGAAATCACATAGGATCACACACTGTGTGTTCATTTGTGGCTGGTTTCTTTTACAGAGAGATGAGTATAATGTCTTCAAGAGTCATCCATGTAACATATATTGGCATTTCTTTTATTTGTGCTGCTGAATAGTGTCCCACTGCATGGATCTACCACGTTTCATCTATGCTCTATCCATTTAGGAATGTGGGGTCAATCCCAACTCCCACCACACTGTATGAATAATGTTGCAGTGAGCATTTGTGTGTGCATGCTTGTGATGAGTTCCCCTTTACTCTTTGGTATGTGCCTGAGAGGAGAACTGCTGAGTCAGATGGCAACGTGTGAGTTTTAACCCTTTTCACAGCATCCAGTTGTGTTTCCAAAGTGACTACACCATTTTTCACCCCACCATCAGACTATGAGGGGTACTATTATTCACACATGCACGAGCACTAATCACCATTTTATTTTAGCTTTCCTGTGTGGGCATGGGTAGTGTGGGATATTTGATCACACTGTAAAACTAAGACAATCTTGGATCAGGGGGTGGAGCCAGCAACTAGTTGTCAGGAATTAGCCATAGAGAGTACAGAGGAACCAGGATAGAGAGATGCACAGGAAGGAGTAGGGAGGGGGTTGCAGTCTTGGTGGATCTTTTTTGGTTTGGATGGTTGAAGAGACACTCTTCTTGCTGGGTCTCCAGCCACAAAGAAAGGTCGACTGTTTGCTTCTCAGTTCTAGCAGGTTTTCACCCCAACATATAATTCTCAAGTCTTTATTGGTAAATAGGATGATAAAGACATAGTTTAAAACTATATTTGCAGGGGCTGGAGAAATTACTCAGCAGTTAAGAACACTGGCAGTTTGTAGTGAGATATTCACCCTGCTCACACCTATAGCGCTGGCCACGCCCATATTGGCGTGGTCACAGGTGCAGCCATGAGGGAGAATAGTTTTAGGTCTGGGTTTGGGGCACAGGTGGCTCTGTTGCTTCTGGTTGGGTGACAGAGGGCAGCCTGGGTGAATCCTTGGAGCTGGAACTTGTGGCGGTCACCTGCTTCTTGTGTAAGTGCATTCTCCCCAAATAAACTTCATTTAACCTGTACTGAGTCTAGTGAGTATTGATTCCCATGCAATAGCAGCTCTTCCAGAGGTCCCAAGTTCAATTCCCAGCACCTCATGGTGGCTCACAACCACCTGTAATGGGAGCAGTTGCCCTCTTCTGATGTGCATGGAGATAAATCATTCATATAAGTAAATAAATAAATATTAAAAAAAAACTATATTTGGAGGCTGAGGTACAGCTGGTGCTGGCAGGACCAGAAATTCCACCAGGCTGAGGCCTGAGCTGTATCCAGGGCACTGACTCTGGGGCCTCGGGGGTGCAGAAAATAGTTAAAATATCAGTAGATTTGGGTGCAGCTGATAAGCCACAGAAAAACAACACAAGTAGCTTGTTGTGACTTTTATTCAGATTTCCCGGATAACTAGTAAAGTTTATCACCTTCTCATGTGCTTGAGTGATATGTATATTTTCCCTTCTAAAACTGCAGTTTTCAATGATTCATGCTTTCTTTCTGTTCCTACACAGGAAGTCCCTTAAAGGCACTGTGGTGTTTTGAATGAAATATTCCCCTATTGCATTGGGCATCTAAATATTTGGTCTCCAGTTGGTGACATTCTTTGGGTAGGTTTAGGAGGTGTGGTCTTGCTGAAGGAATTATGTCACCAGAGATGGCTGCTGTTTTTATCTAAATTTTTCTGTTACCAATAAAGACTCAGGAGTCGGATATTGGGGTGAAAACCTGATAGATGAAAGGATTGTTGGAGGACTGACCAGCTGACCTACTCTCCATACTTCCCAGATCAAAGAGCACACAAAATCTCCATGTCTCTCCTCCTTCTTATGCATCTTATCTACCATAGTTCTGGCTTCTCTATGGCTAATTCTGGTTAGCTAGTCACTGGCTCCGCCCTGATTCAAGGTTATTAGAACAGTCTTGGGGTACCACAGTGCAATCAAATATCCCACATCAGCTGGGTTTTGAGGCTTCAAAAGCCAAGCACCCTTTCCAGTGTGCTCTCTTTACTTTTCCTGTTTGGAGTTCTGAGACATGAGCTCTCAGCTGTGGCTGCTTGTCACCTGCTACCTCTGTTCTGCCAACATGGACTATTAACCATCTGCAACTGTAAGCCAAATCACTTTTTCTATATATTGTCTTGGTCATGGTGTTTTAGCACAGAAAAAGGAAAATAACTAAGCCAGGGAGTAACTGAATTATAACTACTATAATTAAGTTCCACTGTGTTGGTACCCAGATCCATCATTTCTTGTGACTTGGAAAATTAATTAATTCTCTCATATCTTGATTTTGTTGTATGTAAAATGTGGATACTACTACCTACTTTATAGTTTGGAGATGGGATTAAGTAAAATATTGAACATAAAGTCCATAGGACAGTATCTGGCACACAACAACTTCCAGCAAAGTACAATGATATGCACAGCATCATGAAGAAATCCATTGTGTTTTGTTTACTTACTAAAAATAATAATTAAAAAATGAAGAGAATCACTAAAGCCTACCTTTAATTTTGAGTTACTGATCTGGGGTTTTCTGTTTGCTGAGACAGGGTCATCTAATAGATCTGACTGACCTAGAACTCACTCTGTAGACCATGCTGTCCCCAAACTCACAGAGATCCACTGCCTCTGTCTCCCAGGTGCTGCGACTAAGGTCATGCACCACCACACCTGGTCCTGAGCTACTGATTTTATTTTTTAAGACTTGAACTGCAGTGATAGGAAGATGAATCCATCTTAGGGGTAAGTAGATAAGCCAGAGTGAAAAGGATTCCACAGTGGAAATAAAGCAAAACCCTGTGTGCCCATGTGAGCATTTGACCTTCTGATAGGCAACAATAACCCTAGACATCAGCAAGTTTTTACACATAGGTTTTACAACTGGCAGAAGTTAATGGCACTCTCTGTGTCTCTTTCTAGTCTGTTCCCATGATTTCCCTCTGGGTTCCTTGAATTCTCCTGCAAGAGAGTAAGAGCTGGATGCATACACACTTCTGATTCTCTTCACTTGGGAAGTGTCCTACAAATGACAGGTTTCCAGTAGTCTACAGATGGGCTTGTTTTGCTCAGCACCCACCAGGCCTGTGGTCCTGAAGTACTGTCACATAACAAAAGCACAGCATCTCAAATTTTGTTTCCAACTGAGTGGTCCACTCTGGTTGTGTGCTTTATGCCCACAAAATCTCCAGTGTCAACAAATGCCCTGTAACTCTAATAAAACACAGAAGTTTTGAAACGTCACAAGTGGGTAGATGCCTTTTGAAACACTGTCTCCTTACTATTTGAACAATCTTATCATTCTGAATAAGGAAAACACACACACACACACTAGACTACGTTCAGTGAATCGGTGTGTCGTAATTTAAAGGTCACGGACTTTGGAGTCACACAGACATGATGCTAAATTTTTACTATGCTTGTCACTATCTATGTCATACAAGGCATTTACTCTTTCTCAGTTTAGGTTTCTTCCCCCTTTGAAGTAGGGCCAAAAACTCCTTTTAATAAATTACATCAGATTTTTACATTTGTTTGAAATGTAATTTATCTGATATGGAAAGTCAAACTAAATGTCAAGTTCTTGATAAATGTGGGAGCTTAATAAATGTTAGTCCTCTTTCAACTAAAAATATAAATACACTGCTACTCAAAATCTTAGGCACTGTGGGGTTTGGGGATATACTCATAAATAAGGATGCTCCTCTCAGGGGCCTTTCAATCTCACCAAATAACTTTAAAAAAAAAAAATCAATCACATAAGTCAGACACAGCAGCCAATCAGTGAAATTATCTAAAGGAAATTACACTGGGGGCTGGATCGATGACTCAGCAGTTTAGAATTCTGGCTGCTGTTCCAGAGGACCCAGGTCAATTCCCAGCAGCTACATGGCAGCTCAGAATTGTCTGTTACTCCAGTTCCAGGACTTCTGATACCCTCACACAGACATACATGCAGGTAAAACACCAATGAACACAAAATAAAAATAAATTTAAAAAGTTACACCTGTAAAAATGGGTAGCCTAGCCAGGTGTGCTGGCAAATGCCTTTAATCCCAGAATTTAGGAAACAGAGTCAGAAAGATCTCTGTGAGTTCCAGGACAGCCAGGGCTGTTACACAGAGAAACTCTGTCTTGAAAAACAAAACAAAAAAGCCCAAACAACAACAAAAGTAGGGTAAGCTGGAGATCATCATGTAAAAGGAAATAAATCAGACTAAGAAAGACAAATGTCCCATGTTTTATGTCATATGTGAATCTATATTTGAAAATTAATCTCTCTCCATATGTAGATAAGATACATATAAGATAGATGAGTGTGTGTGTGTGTGTGTGTGTGTGTGTGTGTGTGTGTGTAAAAGGTACTGAGAGGAAGGATTAGAAGGGCTTGTTTTGAAGGTGAGGGAAAGGGGAAGAAGACAAATACTGTATGCCCTCATATGCATGCATAACATGAAAACACAGGGAGATAGTTTGGAAGGGGCAAGGGAAGGTGATGGTGGATTGAAGCAGCAAAACACAATGCTATACATGTGTTAAGAAGTTCAAGAAACCCATTACTTAGTACAGTTACATAAGAATTAATCATACTTGCAATGATAGGCAGTTGAATAGGCACAAAAATGAAAATAAAGAGCTTTTCTATATGGAAACCTATTCTACTAATATCTATAGTTTTCCTGTGATAGCTTTCAAAAATAATACTGTGTTCAACTTTTAGAACATAGTTTCTGTCCAATGATGTTTACATATATCTCAAATTCAACAAATAACTAGTTCAAATCGTTATTAAAATAGTCAAACCCCAGTTCTGCAAGGAGTATACTTAAAATTTTGTCAGTTTGCTCATTTCTTTGCTAAAGCTCCATCTTCTATACTCTTTACTGTTTATTTAAAAAAAAAAAATAGCCTCTGTCCTATTCAAAACTTTCTACATAGCTTCATTTCCTACTATTGAGATCATCTTTTCCCCATTACCTGATATGTAATCTTAGCTTTTTCCTAATCACATTTTTTATTTTTTATTTAATTCAAGGATACTTATCTTTAAAGCATAAAATTGCATTAAGTGTTTTGATTATTATAGTAGAGCTACTTCTATAGTGTTACTTTGATCTGAAATAAGGTCTATTTTAACAAAGAAACTTTCAGATCATATGCCTGTAAGACACTTTCAGGTTTTGTTTTTGCTTTTCCAGATAGGGTTTTTCTGTGTAGCCCCAGCTGTCCTGAAACTCTCTAGGTACACCAGGTGGTCTCGAACTCAGAAATCTGTCTGCTTATGCCTCTCACGTGCTCGGATTGAAGGTGTGGCACAAATTTTATTTAAGACATAACATTAAGACAGGCTCTTCATGTTACCCTGGAAGTTCTGAAACTCTGTAGACCAGACTGGCCTCATTATCACAGAGATCCTCCTGCTTCTGCCTCTCTATGCCTGGCAGTCTTTTTCTTTCTTTCTTTTTTAATTCCACCATAGACTGTTAAACTGACAAAACGATATCCTCCTATGACAACTCAATCAATAAGGCTTATCTGTGAAGTGTAAATCTCAAGTCTCTCGTCTATATGACTGACAATTAAAAAAAAAATTCCCCCTTAGGAAGAAAGCAATTTAATGCCATTGGTTACACGTAACCTGTAAAATTCTTGTATTTGGGCTCAGTAAGAAACAAAACTATTTTTCTCAATTCCATTAATGGCTGTAAGATTACAAAGGGTAATTTCAGAAAATATGGAATAAGGGTGAAAATACACGAAATGGAATTACTGAATTAGAGCCTGAGTCAAGGGTTTCCCAATTGAATTCTGGTTCTCACAGTGGACTCTGAGCGCTTTCTCAAACTAAGCTCAAGGTAAGCCAGCTCAAACCAAGGGACCTCCTCAATCCACCTCCCAAACTCATCCCACCCACAAGAGCAGACTAAAGCCCACGCCAGTGATTGTGTAGTTGACGTGGGCAAAGTTCTTATTCGACACACATTACTTTTTTCTTTTTTTGAAAGCTTGCTGGAATTTGATTTTCCTTCCACCTTTTCCCCCTTTGCTCAGGACCACTCAGTGGCTGCTCCAACCCACTCCGTGGCCTGCACTGTGGGAGCTGCTGACCAGCCTTCAGTGGCTGGCTGGGCACTCACACATTACTATTACAGTGCCGCTTTAAAAGAAAAAGAAAAAAAAAAAATCCTGGAGGGAAAGTCCTTAAGCGTGTCTTCCAGATGGGGCAATTGCAATCTGTTCTACACCACGTAGGACTGGCTGGCCTCGAACATCCATACACCTGCCTCTACATTTCAGTGCCGAGACTAGAGGCGTGCGCCACCAGGCCCGTTCTTCTGCAGACTTGCAATTCTCAGTTCCTGCCGTGGCTGCGCCCTCCCGATACGGTAGATTTGGGGGCCTGGTCTCAAGGGAGAACAAAGGGGGCGGCACCCCGTGACGCGCAGGCCCTCGGGCGGACCCGGAGCTGTTTACCCAGGCGGCCAAGGCCGCGACCGCCCGCTATAAAGGGCGCGCAGCGGGCTCCAGAGCGCAACGGGCTTCCGCTCGCCGAGCAGTTCGCCTCCCCGGGAGTCTCGCGAGGCGGAGCCCACTGGGGCCAGGACGGCTCCCTCCGCCGGTTCCCGGGAGCGTCGGGCCTCGGCTCGCCCGCACCGGACGCTGCGCCGCGCCGCGCGCCACGTGAGCCGGAGCCGGAGCCCGCCCCCCAGGCTGCGCGCGCACACTCGACGCCTGGGCATCGCGTGACTCGGGCGGGCGCACGGGCTGAGCGGCAGGCGGCCCCGGGGCCGCGCCACTTCCGACGCGGCGCGGCGCTCGCAGCAGGTTCCGGGGCGCGCCGCGGCGGCGGCCTGCGATTCGGGCGGGATGGAGGAGGCCGCGATCGGAGACGCCGAGCTCAACTGGTCCCGCCTGAGCGTTTCGACCGAGACGCTGGAGTCGGAGCTGGAGGCGCGCTCCGAGGAGCGGCGGGGCTCGCGGGAGGCGCTGCTGCGGCTGCGGCTGCTGCTGCCCTACAACCGGCTGACGTCGCTGCCGCGGGCGCTGGGCAGCGGTTTCCCGCACCTCCAGCTCCTGGACGTGAGCGGGAACGCGCTCACGGCGCTGGGACCGGAGCTGCTGACGCTGAGCGGCCTGCGCACGCTGCTGGCCAGGAACAACCGGCTCGGCGGCCCGGGCTCGCTGCCCAAGGGCCTGGCCCAGTCGCCGCTCTGTCGCAGCCTGCAGGTGCTCAACCTCAGCGGCAACTGCTTCCAGGAGGTGCCCGCCTCGCTGCTGGAGCTGCGCGCGCTGCAGACCCTCAGCCTGGGCGGCAACCAGCTCCAGAGCATCCCCGCCGAGATCGAGAACTTGCAGCGGTGAGAGGCTACGGGACGGGGTCGTGGGGGCGGGCAGGGTGGAGAGCTGGGCGGTGGCCCGAGCTCCGTGGCACCCAACCCAGTTGGAGGCGAGGACTGCCGGGCCATCCATCGCCGGTGGTAACACGTAGCTAAGGTTGAGTGGGTCGTGGCGTCTGCGTTGTGTTTGGTCTACGCAGGTCTTCCAGGCAGTTTAGCTGCGTTCTTTTTTCTGACCGCCCCCCCCCCCCAAACAGTGAGCTCCGGAACTCACTCCGTAGCCCAGGCTGGCTTCTGCCCTCCAGGGTGCCTCGAAACCCGGCTTCGCCTTGTTTCTTGAGTCTAGAGAGGAGGCGAAGTGGGCACCCATTAACGGAGGTTACTGGAAAGCCGTCCTTGACTTTCCGTGCCTTTGCATCGCAGTGCTTTTATCGTGGTGCTCTGATCTAGTCCCTTCCTTTTCGTTCTATTTGCAGCTCCCCCTTCTCTTCAGCGATTGTCGAAGTACCATTAGTGGAGTTAGTGAACATTGCACTTATCCACCCTATAGAAAAGGCAGCTTGTCACTGCTAAATGTGGATTGGGTGAGCCTCGTCACAGGGGCGCTTCCTTTGACCCTGGGGTACTCACACTTCCAAATCTTACCTTAGGAGTCGCTCCTGCGATTCCTTTTAACTTTTTTTGGGAGGGGGGTCGCCCCGAAGCAGAGTTTCGCCGTGTAGCCCTGGCTAACCTGGAATTTGCTCTGTAGGCCAGTCTGGCCTCGAGCTCAGATCTCCCTGCCTCTGCCTGGGACGCCACAGCCCAGCTTGTGCCTCCTTTATTCTGTTCCCTGACAATTACAGCCGAACTCCTTCATCTCGCTCATCCCACCATTGTGTTTATCTGATTGACTATCATTTCTTCCTTACAGGAATTGTCTACCTAACCTAGTAGGTTATTTATTCAACAGTGTAGAATTTAATGGAATGAGGACATACAGAAAAAAAGGGTACTGAAAGTTCCCTAGGGTGACCTGCAGGGGAGTTGGAAGTAAAACAGCAACAAAGAAGTATCTTCTGTTTGTTAAATATTTTCAGCTCCTTTATTGGATTAGCCAAGTTAAAAGAATGTGGCGCAGGAGAGAACATTTTAGTTAACAGGGAAAACATGGACCTGGGAATAAAAATTAATGTCTCAGCCTTAGGCAGGTCACTCACTTAATGTGTTCTATTTGCAGAATGAGACATCTGGACATTGTGTCCCTTAATTTGCTCCTTGATAGATGTTTGCAGGGTACTTGGTGTCTCCAACATTCCCTTAGGCTCTAGGGTGACTTGCTGAGCATGTCCTGCCTACATGGATCTAACAAGTTATATTAGCACAGGGAAGAGATGCTAAACATTTATGGATTTTCTTATTAAGTTGTGCTTAGCAATAAATCCTGGTTGTGAGAGCACCTTGAGATGGAATCACAGGGATTTGACCTGTTTTGGCATTTGAGTCAGGCTTTTGAAGGAAGTACCAGGGCAAGTTAAGTACTGTGAGCCATTGGGATCAGTCCAAGTAAAGAGTAGGGTGTGTGTGAAAGTCCCGAAGCAAGGAGAATAATGGCCAAACTGCTGAAAGATGAGCATTGTGCTAGACAGTGACATTAAAACTGGGGCCACTCAGCCTGTCAGCACAGCTTGAAGGCTTCTGTAGAGTGTGGGTTACATTCTGAATGCACATGTGTCTTGTTCCAGTGGAGTGAGGAGAGGCTGGAGAGAGAGGGGAATTTTGAGTCTGCTTAGGAGACCATTGTGATACAATAGAGATGATAATCTACAAGAGTGCTAGGAAGAGATAGGATGTAGGACAGCTAAGGAGAGATTTATGTTAATTTGATGTGCTCTGGTTCCTTTTAATTGAAATACTGTGTGATTTCAATTCCAGCATATTAAGAGGAACCCATGGAGAGAATTATCTCCACATGGAAAAAGTAGGCAAAGTAGGTAAAGGGTGGGCTGTGTCATAGGTCTTCTAGCATTCTCTATGAGTCTAAGATGAGGTGTTCTATTTCTAGCGGTAGAAACAAACTCAGAGAAAGGAGGTCTCAAGATCACAAAACCCATTAAGTAGTAGAACTGGGTTTGACCTTCTAGGGTCTCTGATACCAAATCCATGGATTTTCCAGTGGCCAGGTAGGGCTAGGACCCAAGTATCTAGGCTTCTGTTGTGTTGGCACATGTGATCCAGAGAACTATGTCAGGTCATTTATACCTGGTTGACCTGATTTATGGTCTTTGGCTTGACAAATTCTGGGACTTTTTGCATGGTGATTTTTTGTTGTTCAGTACTATACTGATAGGAATCAGCAAAGGCTTAGAAAATAAGTTCTAGTTGGATGTAGACCAATGGGGTCATGCAGAATTGTACTCCTAGAGAAAGAAGCAGCTTCGACCATGACCTAGTTCATTTCCTTCTTTTCACGGATGAGGAGGCTGAGATGTGAATGAGTTGCTTGGAGCCAAATCATTGCCCCAGTGAGAGCTCAGTGGTTCAGTTCTCAAAGACTTCCAACTATTCTGAAATGCTGGAAAATGAAGGTGGTGTTATAGTCACTTGAACATCATGTTCTTCCAAAATCTGTGTAAATTCTCCTCATTGTAACCCTGGTGTGTACTGTGTGCTGGGGTATGCTGCTGTGTTCCTCCTCTCCTCCCTTCCCGGTGCTGAGGGTGGACCGCATGACCTTCCACTTGCTAGGCAAGTCTAATATGTTGACACATGAAGATTCTGTCCTTTTGAAGAACAGTCAAGAAGAACAGTTTTTTTAAAATTACACAAAGCATATGGTGTACAAAAATGTCCCTTTCTCTACCTGTCACCATTCCAGGAAAGAATAACAAAACTTGCCTTAACATGCCACTGGCCTCTCCAGGTTTTCCTGGGCCTTAGATTTGTCTTAACTCTGCTTGTAGTTTACAATGCTTAAAGGTAGGAATGGTTCACACTTTGACATTCTTCTGACAAACTTAGGTTTTATTCCTCTCAGTTCAGAAACTTATTGGGGAGACTGAGAGTCTGAGCCAAATGAGTTTTCTGGGTCTTTTTCTGATCTTTTAAAAAAGCAGTGTCCTATGTTTTAGTGAACCTCCCATGTTGTCTGTTCAGTGTAATTTTCAAAGATAAATATATGAGGGTTGCAGCAAAAACAAAGGCTAAAAATGAATCTGTGGAATGTTAAAGCTATTCTACAGTGGCTATCTTAGGAATGAGGTAACTCAACAAGATGATAAGTAGAAAAATGTGCTAAAATTTAAATAAAACCCTTTCTCTATTTAAAACCTTACATTGAATTTGTGGATGTCCATTTCTTTGTGTTGACTTTCTTTAATTTCATACAGTGTATTAGCAGATCATCACCCCTCTACACACATTGCTAGGTTTGATACTACCTCCCTACCTAACCAACTTCAAATTCTCTTTCCGTTTTGTCCTTAAACCCTCCAAATTCAATGTTGATGTTACCCTGCTACTCCTGGATTGTGGGGCCTGACCTGAAGTGTGGTTGACCTACAAAACTGACTCTACCCCACCCCCAGCAGCCATCAAATGCCTAAATAATTTCTCAGCTACTGGTGGGACTTTGTGTTAATATCCAGTTCATGGTTGGATTTTGTGAGGGTTGAGCTTGCACAGGTCTTTGCATGCTGTCACAATTGCTGTGAGTTGTTATATACAACAGCCCTCTTGTGTCTAGGAAATACTGCTTTCTTGACGTTACCTACTACCTCTGGTGCTTAGAGACTTCCCACCCCTTTTTACTTCAGGATCCTGAGCCTTGGGGCTTTGGAATGTGAAATGGATTAGGGCTGAGCACTCCTCAGTCTCTGGATCTCTGCATGCTAAGCAGGTGCAGGGCTCTGTACTAGTTGCCATCTACATCAGGAAGAATCTTCTCTGATGATTGAGAGATAGATGCACTTGTCTGTGTACAGCAGTAAGTCAACAGCAGTGTTTTAATGCCCTGTCCATTTAATAGAATAATAGTTGGCTCTCCCCTAGGGCCTATGACATACCTAACCACAGGTTTTTTTGTTTTGTTTTGTTTTTGTTTTTTGTACCAATAACAATGCCAAATATCTTCCATTTTATAGAAGAGGCTTTAAATGCAATCAGAAAGTGGTTGGTTTACTCCTGTAAAAGGGAGTGGGAACGCCCTAAGTATGTTTTCTAACTCAGAGAAGGAAAGGAAGAAAATTTTCCATGAAACAGAAAGAGAAGTTTTAGAATGGAGATATATGAAAAACACAAGTAAAAGTCTTAAAAAAAAAAAATACATAGTAGTCTCCTCCATCTACTCATGATTTCAGGTACTCACAATCAACTGTGGCCCAGAAATACTACATGTAGAATTCTAGAAATAAACATTTCATAATTCTTAAGTTGCTGCCCATTCTGAGTTTCATGAGGAAATCAAGTTGCCCCATCCAAAACCTGAATGGGCTCTCATTCCCCAGGGAGTGCCCAGTCCTTGGATCCCACCTTGCTCTGCTCCATGGTCCACCTCATCTATCTTACCTGCTCTCCTGCTCTGTACGCCTACCTGCCTGTGAATCACTTAGTAGCTTCCTTGACGACTGTTTTTGCCTCATTGGAACAAAGTTCCTGACACAAGCAACTTGAGGGAAGAGCTGACTCGGTCTCAGACAGTGCTGGCCTTGTGGTGGAAGGCATGGGAAGCAGCTCAGTACACAGTGCATGTGTGGCAGAGGTTGGCTATTAACATGGCAGATGGCCGGAACCAGGGAAGGAGTATAACTCCCAGAGGTCTGCCATTAGTGACACACTTCCACCAGCTGGGACCAAGCGTTCACCATATAAACACTTAAGAGCTATTATAGATGACCGTTGCACCTGCGAAAGAGAATAAACAAGTCAGCTACAAATGACTATAGTGACTGATGAGATAATGAGGCCAGATATGGAAGGAAATTGAAGGACATCTGCCAGCAAAATGGAAATATCATATGTGGCTCAGAACAGTAGGGGGAAAGAATGAAAGAAAAGAAACTATGCCAGTAAGAAAAGGCAGCACCAAAGAGAGACAATATACTGAGATAGATCATTATAGACCCTAGTCCCTAACATATCAACAATCAAGTTGTTCCCTGTTTGTGCATGAGAGGTACGTAAAAACACTAGTAAAAGAAAAAGACACTAGTAAATTAAAAATGAAAAGATATTTCTGGCAACTGTATTGCTTCCAGTCGCACACATTCATCCAGCTAACTGTGAGTAAAATAATGCAACCAGCTTTCATTTAAAACCCATCTACCAGCAGGGGACTGGAGAGATGACTCTGAGAGTCATCTTGAAAAGGGTTGGAGTTAGCTTCCCATCACTCAGGTCAGGTGGCTCAAAACTGCCTGTAACTTTAGCTCCAGGGGATCCAATGACTTCTGGCTTCTCTGAGCACCACACACCCATGCATGCACATAAACACAAAATTAAATATTAAAACCCACCTATCATACCTAGGATAAAATTCAAAATCCTTCCAGGCTTTGTGATCCGACCTTCCCAGGCCAGCTGTTAACTGCTGAGTTCCGACTACCGCGTTTCCTCTTCAGTCTGCTGTGCTATAACTTTGCATTGCACTGACCGCTTTTTGTCAGTTCACTCAGCTCTGCTCACATTTCTCATAAGAGAAAGCTTTCCTCTGGGCAGTGGTGATGCACACCTTTTTAATCCCAGCTCAGGAGGCAGAGTACTATCTGCTCTAAGAGACAAGTGATTGACACTATAGTGCCTGACACATGGTAGATGTTCATATTTGTAGACTAGGTGTTTTATGCTATCTTTAATAAGCAGAGAGTAACTGGCCCTAATTTTTATGACAGTAAGTGGTGGAATTGAATGAAGTAAATGCTAACAGCAAAAGCTGGAAGCAATATTGATAATCAGGGGAAGTGGATCTAGAACAAACTGGATTTAAAGGAACAAAGAAACACTTCATATGAATTAAGTAACACTCCAACAGGAAGTTTTAGGAGTTAGAAGCTTGATGTGTCTGCAATGTAGCTTTTGGGAGCAAAAAGTAACAGACATCTAAGTGGAACACTGTGGTTATGTGGGAGATGAGCATCCAGTAAGGAGGCAGATGACAAACTACAGCTTCTGAATTGCTCCTTTTACAAAGGCAACATGAATCTTATAATACATCTAAAGCAAGCAAAAAGTAGGTCACAAAGGAACAAAGTTATGCAGAGCATGTATTTAGCAGCAGAGCTCTCAACAAAGCAATGGAAATTGTCTAAACCATGAGGAAATGGACAAATGGTATGAACCAGAAATGCTCTGAGGATATGCAAATAATCAGAAACACAGAGACAAAACTAAATTTCACTAATTAGAAAATTGCAGATCTGTAGGTGAAAAGTGCAGAATAGTACCTTTTTCACACCATCAAGTTACTTTCAAAAAAGGTGTTGTCAAGGGGATATGGTCTGAAGTGGAGATAGGGTCACCAAAGGAGGCTGGTGAGCAGGCAGATCTGCCAACTGCAGGCTCAAAGGAGAGACTGCCTCATATATGAGAGTAATTGAGGAAGACATTCAAGTCCACGCTGGCTTCCACATGCATGCACGTTTGCACACACATAGGGGCAAAAAGTAAAATGCCCACCAGATAACTCCTATTTTGGCTGACAGTGTAGTAGCCTGGTTTCCCCCCACCCCACCCCCACTTTAAAGCTGGTATTTTGTTATTTTACTTGTGTTTTATTTGAAAGTCTTTGAAAGAACAATAGTTCTGAGCAGAGTAACAAAACCAAAAGTAATAGTAGGAAAGTTGCAAATACATTGTGTGTGTACGCTCTTTATTTTTATGAATACTGTTAAGAGCTGACTGTCACCTCCCTGCAAAACTCCTTTGGAAGGAGCCTTTCTACAATCATCAGAAAATAGCATTATGTCTTGTTGCTATATATCCTACATTGAAGATGTTTATAATCAGGGTTAACTAGAACTTTAACTCTGAAGAATGTACTTGCTTTATTAAGAGCAAAGAAACTTTGTATATGGTTTTCTGTGGTGATTGTACTCTAACAGATAAAGCTTGTCTGAAGATCAGAGGGTGGAGACAGTTCTCTGCCCATTTTGGATGAAGGGCAAGATTATGGGGTTTCCCTTTGCCTGTGAATCAAATACAAGCATGCCAGCATGGATTGCAGGGTGCTTCTAACTAACTTATCGTCTCCAGCCTTGTCTGGGATCTTCGAGGAAAAAAATCTCTTTTATTAACAGGTGTGCCCATTGAGTCTTCAAAGCCCCCTCCTCTATCCAGAGTCTTATATCTTCTTTCTTTCCTCCCTCTGTTTTTTTTTTTGTTTGTTTGTTTGTTTGTTTTTTGTTTGTTTGGTTGGTTGGTTGTTTGTTTGGTTGGTTGGTTGGTTGGTTGGTTTTTATGAGACAGGGTTCCTCTGTGTAATAGCTGTCCTGGAACTCACTCTGTAGACCAGGCTGGCCTTGAACTCACAGAGATCCACCTATCACTGCCCAGGCCAAAATGTTTTTTCCCTGTCTAAGGACTAAGTTCGTGTCCCAGCTGGGGGAAGCTTTTCCATGAGAGCTGCTGTGACCCTTCATATTCTTTTCCAGTCCCCTAAACTGTTCTCTTGTTTTGGTGGTTTAATCATGCATTGTTTTGCATTCACTTTCTGGAAACTGCTTAGCACAGTATTTCTCAACCTCTGGGTTGCAACCTATTTGGGGTCAAATGACCCTTTCACAGGGGTAGCCTAAGATCAGTTGTGTATCAGATATTTGCATTATGATTCATAACAGTAGCAAAAATCACAGTTATAATTTATCGATGAAAATAAGCTATGGTTGGGGGCCACCACAACATGAGGAACTGGATTAAGGGGCCTGAGCATTAGGAAGGTTGAGAACCACTGGCTAGCTTAGAGCAGATCCTGAGTAAAATATGTGAATGAGTATGTGTCCATTGTAGTAGAGACAATGAAGTATCTTGACCAACTTGTATTTATTTGCTTTTTTAAATTTTCTTTTACAGTTTAGAATGCTTATACCTTGGAGGAAACTTCATTAAAGAAATCCCACCAGAATTAGCAAATCTACCTTCTCTGAATTACTTGGTGTTATGTGACAACAAAATCCAAAGTGTGCCTCCTCAGCTTTCACAGTGAGTAGTCTTGGCTTATAGAGACAGCCATTTGTGGTTATGAGTCACTGTCTGGAACTCTCTTTGTGCTTTATATATTGGAAAGAATGAAGAGTATGCCAATAATCTCAACAGGATATTCTTAAGTTCAAGACCAACTTGGGCTACATAGTAAGACGTTGATTTAAAAAGAAAAGGCAAAGAAATAGGTATGCTTTAAAAAAAAAAAAAAAAAAAAAAAAAAGCAGTGCTTAATAGCTCTGCAGCTTGTTATAAGCTGAGTAGCTTTTAATTTTATTTAAGTGTTCTGGTCTATTCCTCAAAGTATTTGCTCAGCTGGCTGTGTATGTGTGTGTGTGCATATGTGTCTCTGCAAGAGTGTATGTCTGTGTGCAGGTAGGTATAGGTTTGCATGCTCATTTTGGAGGCCAGATGCCATTCACTTCCTTTGTGATGGGGTGTCATCAGCCTGGAGAGTTTACCAGTCAGTCTAGACTTGTTGGCCAGAAGGTCCAGCGCACTGCCTTTGGGACACCTGACATTTTTAACTGGCATTTTCACGTTGGTGCTGGGGATCGAACTCGGGTCCTTATGCAAGGCAGAGGCTTTACTGACTGTCCCAGCCCCTCAGCTTGCTTCTTGTAACAGAAAAAAATAGTAATTTGGCATAACTTTCTTGAGGAACTTGGCAGATTTTATCTGATGCTAAGCAAACTCCTGTCCATATGTGGCTTTATAATGAAAAGGGTCATTATTTATGGCATACCTGAAATCTTTTGTAAGTGCTAAAATAGGCCCTCCAATGTCCTTAAATCTATCATTTGTCCCAGCTAGGACATCAGAGTACTTTAAGTGTTTTAAGTACCCAGAAGGAAAGTCTTTGATAGCATTTATAAGACTATTCTGAGTTCATTTTAGACACTTTTTCTTCTGTTGACCTCAGTCCTAATTGTTCTTTCATATGGGAGGCTCAAAGCCTGTGTATACACACACAGATGTGTTTGTGCACATTTAGAAATGTGTGTAGCCGTGCTTCATTACCTTTGGCTTCTGTGTTGTGTTCATTCCAGGTTGCATTCACTTCGTTCTCTCAGTCTCCACAATAACTTACTGACTTACCTGCCTCGAGAGATCCTCAACCTTATCCATCTGGAAGAGTTGAGTTTACGAGGAAATCCACTGGTTGTTCGGTTCGTTAGAGATTTAACGTACGACCCTCCAACTCTGCTGGAATTAGCTGCAAGGACCATTAAGATCCGAAGTATTTCTTACACTCCCTGTGACCTTCCTGGGAATCTCTTAAGATACTTGGGTTCAGCCAGCAATTGCCCAAACCCAAAATGTGGTGGTAAGTGAATAGAATATTGGTCCTTTTCAAATTCATTTAGCCATGTTTAAAATTTAATGTTGTGTTGTTTTATAAAGCTTCTTTCATACAAAGTAGTAAGACATTTAACTCCCTGAGCCTCCTTTCTTCTTAAAAATTATTTTCATACTAATTTTGACTTCAAACACAAGGAAAATACCCAGGGAATCTCATCCTGTATTAGAACATTATGAGGAAAGTACAGTGATAAAATGAAAGAAAATACAAAGAAATATAAACAGTTCTTCCATGTTTATTTGAAGGTTCACTATTCATTGTATCAGATACAGTTAGGGTACACTTAGAGATGTGTATCAGCAGACTGTGCCCATTTCAGGATGAACAAAAGAACTTTATATTCTTCAACTCCATAGTCTAAGATTCGCATTTAGAGCATTGGGAGACAACTAACACTTTTAAATAAGTCTGTTTTTAATAAGCTATAGAAAGGCACTGGTGTGAGGATAAATGTAAATACCAAGAAAACGTTACGTAATGATAGCAAAACCAGGTAAGATTTTCCCCAAAAAAGGGTCATCTTGTGTCTTAACATTATTGTATAGGTAAAAAGAAAACAACAGGTAAATTTCTCATATTGTTACAAGATAAAGACTGAGTTTAAGAAGAAAAGCATTCTCTGAGCTGGTTTGATCACCTCCTCTCAAGAGCAAGGGTTGCTGTCTTTGTCTGTGGGCCTCTGTCTAGAAATGGCTGTGACAGTGGCAGGGGACTGTTGAAAGTAGGGTGTGAAGACTTGTAGGAGGCATTCCCACCATTGCTTCCTGTGAAACCCAGTGGGCCAGTGTCCGTCCTTTTGGAAGTGTTCCTCTAAAGAGAAAGAAACTCTCCTCTCTTCGCTGCCTTTTCATTGACTTCTTCAGTATTCTAAAGAACTGTTTCTATTAGGAATGCCTTTAAAATTACAAGTTTAAAATTTCAGATAACATTGATAAATCACTTAAATAAAATCAATCATTTTACATGCTTCCCTATCACCACCCCAGGTTCCTTGTTGAACTGTTAAGTTAAAAATCATCATTTATGAGACATTTTCTCTTTGTATGGTTTGAAAGCTTACAATGACTAGTACTATGGGAAGCTAACACAGTTATGAGGGGTTTATTTTAAACCCATTGAATGTGTCTACTTTCTAAATTGATCAGAGTATAAACCATAAAATGCTGTAGGGGAGCCAAGCCTGGTAGCACACGCCTTTATTCCCATACTCAGGAGGCACAGGCAAATGGAGCTCTGAGTTGGAGGCCATCCTGGTCTACACAGAGTTCCAGGCCAGCCAGGGATACAAGTGAGGTCTTCCCTTTAAAAATTAAATAAGTAAAAAGGTTAGCAATGGGGAGGTCTCCTTTGATTAGACCAGATCACTCTGTTTTGGTTCGTCATGTGATAGAGGGTAGTTGGGAAACTTAGGTTTGAAGTTTAAGACACAATTCTGCAGTGGGGGGATGGTAAGGTGTTTCTAAAGGATCTGTAGAGTCCGTTGCCTTCCTCTCAGCTCTGGCTGTAGCTCTATTCCACTGAAGGACAGTAGTTCAGGAGGTCTTAAGTAAGAACCGTAAGAGAAATACCAGTTTTTTTGTTTGTTTGTTTTCTCTGGGTAGCTTTTGTAGCCTTTCCTGGAACTTGCTCTGTAGAACAGGCTTACCTCAAACTCACAGAGATCCTCCTGCATCTGCCTTAAAGGCATGTACCACCACCACCCACTGGAAATACCAGTTTTGGGGAGAGGGGGCGTTGTAAGATTTTTTTTTTTTTTAGTTTTTTTTTTTGTTTGTTTGTTTGTTTGTTTTTAATTTTTAAAAAAATTATTTCTCTCCAGGTGGTGGTGGTGCATGCCTTTAATGAATGCCACCCAGCACTTGGGAGGCAGAGGCAGGTGGATCTTTGTGAGTTTTCCTTCCTGGAGCCCTCTATGTGTGTCCCTCTTAGGGTTCCCCTTTTTCCTTAGCTTCTCTGCATTTGTGGATTGTAGGCTGGTTATCCTTTGCTTTACATCTAATATGCACTTATGAGTGAGTACGTCCGGTGTTTGTCTTTCTGGGTCTGGGTTACTCAGGGTAGTTTTTTCTAGTTCCATCCATTTGTAGATGTCATTGTTTTTTTACTGCTGAGTAGTACTCCATTGTGTAAATGTATCACATTTTCTCTATCCATTGATAGAGTTGAGGGGCACCTAAGTTGTTTCCAGGTTCTGGCTATTACAAATAGCTGCTATGAACATAGTTGAGCAAATGTTTTTGTGATATGATTGTGCACCCTTTGGTGCACTGAGGAGTGGTTTTGCTAGGTCTTGAGGTAAATTGATTCCCAAACTCCCTGGCTGCTCAGCCATCTCAAGAGCCCCCCTTGCCTTCTCTTAGCAATTAGATTGCTACCTGGAACGTCATCCATTATTTCTCTACACTGTGCTATGAGAAGGGATTGCTGGAATACTTCTGCTTAAAGCTTGAGATGCAGTGTTTCTCTAGAAAAAGGACTCTGGGTCTTTGTGCTTTTACTGACTTCTTATATTCTTCTCCCTAGGAGTCTATTTTGACTGCTGTGTCAGACAAATTAAGTTTGTGGACTTCTGCGGGAAGTACCGCCTCCCCCTGATGCACTATTTGTGTTCTCCAGAATGTTCTTCCCCCTGCAGCTCTGCCACACACAGCTCTACATCCCAGAGTGAGTCTGACTCAGAAGATGAAGCCAGTGTTGCTGCACACAGGATGCAGAAGGTTCTTCTTGGTTGAGCAGCAGTGGGTGTTGAAAAATACTAAAACTAAGCAAAGATGATTAAAAAAGAAAATGGAGCTTGAAAATGATTGGAAACCTTTGTGTTTTCATCTTGAATGTCCATGTAAGAGTTGCAGTGACATGAAAGATTTCGCATTCTGTCTGTCCATTTAGCAAGATTGAGTTCAGTTCCATGTTTAGATTCTTTTGAGTGTAATTTATTATAAATGGCAGTTCAAAATTCAACTGGTTGGTCACAATTTTCAATTAAGTCTTTGATGAAACACTAACACAATGGTACACTCTGAAGAGCAGTCATAATCTGCCTGAGTGGTGTCACCTGGGACAGTTGGGTTGATTATAGTAGGACACCCTGACAGCTGTACTACGAGAGTTGTCCTGGTTTGTGCTGAACACTGCCATAAATAGAATGAGCCTTCTGCTTGTGTCACCCCTGGGCTTGAGCCTTTGTGACCAACTAACCAGTACAGTAAGGACTATCACCTTTAAATGGAATATGCAAACTTCAGTTCTTGTTTTGTGTGATTGTTCCTGACTTTATGCAATCTAGCTATGATGTGTTACAGTGCCTTAATCCTAGCAAGGATATGGAAGCTTATTCTAAAAATGATTTCAGAGCAACCTACAACCTGACACTATGCAAAACACTAGGAAATAGGCTTTAACAGACTAGGTAAACAACTGTGTAGATAATACCAAGTCCTGTGGGCCTGGAACTCTTTATGTAGAGTGGGCTGGCCAGGAACTCAGATTCACCCGCCTCTACCTCCTGGTGCTGGCATCAAAGGTGTGCACCACCATCTACTTCTCTGACCACCTCAACTTCAATTTGTTAACTGCAGTGATCTCTTACAAGCATGGCTTTCACATTTATAGGAGGCTACAGTCACGATCCATCTATTTACCAAAAGACAGAATAATTGTTCTTGACAGAAAAATCTAGATGGCAAGTAATCTAAGAAAAGCTGCTTTATAATATTGGACTAAATGAGGGGAAGTTGGACATGGCTGTGCACACCTCCAAACCAGCACTTGGGAGGTAGAGGCAGAAGATCAGGAGTTCAGAGTTAGCCTAGGCACCATAGTGAAATTGAGGCCAGCCTGGGCTATATACTCGAAAACTCGTCCCAACGTGGGGGTGGGGAGGATTTGAACTGTCAAATGTGCCTCCTTTGCTTGTGTTGTATACTAACCAAAACTTTCTGCATTTGAAAGAAAAACTACAACTAGATAACATGACAGTTGAAGGTAGTCAGAATAGAGCTTAGTATGTTCATCCACAATAGAATAGTTCACAAAGTTGGTTTAACCATTGAACACTACGAAGTATCGATAAAACAGGAATGAAAACATTAAAGTTTTCCTTTAAGATGTAGGAGATGTAGGAGAAAAATAGTAACAGATTATTGTCATTGGAAATTAACAAATTTTCCTAAGTGGGCATCAGAATATGTCTTAATTCACTACTGATGATTAAATAACCAACTTGAATTAATAGCACAAAGGCTGGTTTGTAAGTGCTAAAGGTAGTTTCAGATTACATTAGGGCGTCCAGTGTTCTCTTAAAGAGTGCTTTGTTAGAAGCTGAGAATATTTGCATGTTAGGTTTCTTGTATATATTATTTTTTATTTTAGTAGATTGTATTAGTGGATTTTAGGGTAATTCAGGGTTTGTGTGTGTTTGTGTTACGTCATGAAACACGAGAGTTTCGTGGCTGCAGTTGTGAAACGCTGCTATAGTGATCCCCTTACCTTTTCCTCAAAATAGTGTAGTAAGATTATTTTTTTTTATTTAGAAATTTTCTTTTTGTGTTTATAAAAGTGATGTTTTCTACTGCAAATGTAATTGAATGATGTTATAAAGTCTTTGCATTTCACCAAGTGAGCAGCTGTAAGCTGCCTACTGCACGATTAGGAAAGGCACAGATGACTTGGGCAGTACCCAAGTGTCAAACTGTAAATGCTTTGTAATTAGATGACTTTAGTTAATCTAGAATGTTCTCATGGAAAATGTCCAGATTGATGGGACCATATTCTTCTGGTTTAAATATTTCTACTTTCTTGATTAATAGTCATTCTTGACCTAAGTAATAGCTTGAATGGCTTTTTAGAGATTACTTGTAAAATAGCCTTGTAAATAGAGCATCTAACATACATACACTTTCCAGCCTCCTAGAAAGACAGTATAGTGTTTTATCTTTCCTAAATATAAATATTCCAGCCTGTGGCATATGATATGCCTGCCTTATGGTCTTCTTTCAGCAGAGTGTTTATTGTGGTTTTTTATGTGTATAGTTAAACTCTGTGAACAGTGTGCAGCTGTCTTTCTGCAGAGATGGGGATTATAGGGATAGATCCAGGGCCTTGTGCATGCTGAACAAGGTACAGTCCACGCCTAGCATAGATAGCTTTTAGTGAAGTCTTCATTGGCAGCTGTTTTACCTGTTTTGGTTGTTTTTTCTTTCTGTTTTTTAAATCCATCTTTGGCTGTCTTCTTTACTAGAGCTGCCAATGATTGCTATTTTAGTTTTTCATACTTTTTCTTTAAAAATAAAAGCTAATTATAGACATTAACTTAATGAGATAGGAATTGGCCTTCTAGAATTAGGATTATCTTCTGAAGTCAACAGGGTGTATTTTAAGCTGTAGCCTGTCTCTATAGGTATGAATCCCATGTTTACCCAGCTAATGAACATTTAGAATCAACAAGGGCTAATTTTCATAATGCGGCTATTTTATTTTCTGAAACAGAGCCTGGCTATGTAGCCCAGGCTACCCTTGAAGTAGCTGTGTAGCCCAAGCTAGTCTGCTTGTAATGCTCTTGCCTCGGCTTCCCAGCTGCTGGAATCACAAGTGTAAATAAACCATGGGCCCAGCTCAGTATTTTACTTAGAAAAATGCCAAAGGTGCCAGTTAGTCTAAAAACTTGATATCTAAATTTTTGTTGCCAATATTAAAAATAAACATTGTAGATGTGCTTCAAATATGAGATATTTGGGGGTGACATAAATAAAAATAAGAGGCAATCCTCAATAGTGCAGCCCAGTACTGCAGATCAGTTCTAACAGACACTGGAGATACTGGGTTACATGAAGACTCAAGAAGGGGCTGTTTGCTGGGTTGTTAAGGAAAACAAGTCTTTAAAAGCAGCAAAAGATAGGGAAAGAGAAATCAGGTGGCCAGGAAATCCCTGAGCCAGTAAAGCCCTATCAAATAGTAAGAAATTGTTTTAAAATTAATCCACCAAGTGGCCTCCTACTGCCATCTAAAATCCTTATCACTAAGTTTATTACTGCTAATGTTAGTGAATCGGGCCCCTGCTACTGGAGGCTGTTCCATTGCTCCCCATAAAGCAGAACCACCAAGCTTTGGCTTTCTTTCAATCTTGCTCTTCGCAGAGTTCCTATTGGAAAGCAGTTCCTATTGGCCTGGCTTATAATATAGCAGGTAACCTTAGTGAATGTTACCTTTTTGTTGCCTTTTTAAAAAATTGCAAGTCAAGTATTTAGTAGTAACTACATAAACAAATTTTGTTTGCATGTGCATGCTTGTAGGTAAGACTTTAACACTAAAAGTATATATGTAAAATGATTTAGCTGCATTTAATTTTAAAGTGCGGAATTTTTAACGAAATGATTTGCCTTTCATCTAAAAGTAGAGATTTTATTATAAGTATTGCTCTCTACTTAGTCCAAAATACTGATTTTTTTTTTAAGTTAGACTAGGCATGTAACCCCGTGGTGAAGGGTACTGTGTAGACTTTAGGCAGTGTGATGTGTAGCACATAGTTCTGTTCCCTTGCTTAGAAAAGTGTTGTGTTAGCCCTCACTGTCTGTGTATTAAGCATTTAGTGTTATATAACATTAATTCAGTAGCATGCAGTTTTATAATTTCATCACAGTGTGATCTTTTTGGTAGTAGAGTAGGTAGCACTATCCTTTGTAGTCTGAAAGTGCCTTTAAAGTCTTCCGTTTAACCCAAAGTATGGGAATGAAGGTCTATTGGATGGTAAACTGTCAGTGATGGCTGTATGATCTTCTACATTGACTTGAAGGAGAAAGACTGATGCTGAGATTCCTTTGCCCACAGCAGGGCTTCTGGGAAGGGTACCTTAACCATATTGTGCCAGGAGATTGGAGCCATCTGGAACCAAAGCCCAAGCAAGCACCACCACCCTACCCTACTCCCAGTAGAAAGGTGTATCTTTTATATATAGTATTTTATTTAAATGTTCATGCTACCAAAAGGACAGCAAGCAGAAATCCCACTGCTATCGTATTTATAGCATCGTAGGGGAATACTGTCAATGAGGTCTAGCATGTCTTATCATCATCAATTTTCCTATAGGTTGAAAGGGGAATAGTTTAATATGTGTAAGTGCCACCTTTGTTTTTATATTTTTCTTGATCTCTATTTACCAAGGATTGAAGTAAGAAGCATTCCACTAACTCACAAAGTTAAGCACTTAGTAGGTGATCTTGATGGGTGCTGCTATTACTCAACAGTAGTCAGCCTCAATAATTGATAAAATATGCAATCTCATATGGTGTGTTATGTGTGCATTAGATCTAGTAGCATAGTGCAGGTTATTCACATGCAGAAATCTCTGCATTCATCAGAACATACTTTATTCTTTTGGCCATGAAAAAAAATTGAATAAAATTGTGTTATTCAGAGCTCCAGCTGAGGAAAGAAACTAGGATGAGGTTGGCATTGCTGTTATTGAACTAAGTTGGTTTGTTTTGTGCATGGGGATGGTTGAGAGTCCCTGTTCTCAGTTCACATGGTCAGCACTGTGTTCCTGGAACTCCAGTGACGCCAGTAGTCACTTTGTAACAGCCACATGCAGACTTGTGTTGAGGTTTGTTGCATTCTGAGCCCACTGGATGTTTGTTAGAAACAGAACATAATGGGGAAGACTGTCTATATAACAGCCTTAGCTTTTCATAAAGTTGGGGGCTTCATATGCTAACAAAAGATGCTGAAAAGGTGTCAAATTATTATGTATTCTCTGATTTCTTTAATTTTCAGTACCTATAGTCTTGTGTATTAGAAATACCTGTATAAGTATATATACAATTAAAATGTAACTCAAATATAGATCAGTAGTGGAGTTTGTTTTCTGGAAACGACAGAGTCTTATTGTATCAAATATATGTAACTTTATAATGGCTAATAGTCTAAAAGAATGTTTAAACTATTTAAATTCTTATGCCTCACCCAAAGGACATGAAAAAATATATTAACTTTATATATCTTTATAAATTTTGCCTTAAACATTGTGCCTTGTTTTATTGAACTCCAATTCTGGTTTTTGTAACAGCATTTTATTCTAAACAAACATTAAAAAAATCTTTATAATGCCTGTATTTGGTATATCACTACTTATCTGTTTATTGAAAGTATTGAATATACAACTCTAAAAATTAAATGTGTATTAGCATTTATTGCACGTGCTAAGATACAAGAGAAAATCGAGTTCGAATATGCTCCTCTATGAGCGTTCCTTCCTCTGCCCCACCCTGTGTTGCAGGCTCTAATCACCTTGCAACCAAGGTCAGTTCTGATTTGTGTTTATTTCAGAATCTTATACTGATCCAGTCCTAACTTGATGGTCCCACACTTCATATTGCCCTTCTTTAGAGCACCTGATGTTCTGAATTCCAGAATGTAGAAGAATGTTTTGGTTGGCTGTGAGCTGGCAAATAGTGACTGGGAAGGACAACAATTACAAACCAGCTATGCTTCAAAATTGCTGAAGTGGGAGAAACTGTGCATCTCTCATTATTATCTAGAAAAGGTTCTTTATAAAAACAGGCCTAAGGAATGGAAAGGATGAGGAAAAAACATGTCATTCCAGTCTCTTATCTTTCCTGAATAAAACTCTTTAACTTCTTAGAGGTAGTGATGGAGGAGACATCGTCCACCTAACTCTGCAGGCATCTGATGGCCAGAAAGTTCAAGGGTATATAAAGTTACACATGTCCCATCCATCACAACAGTCACTTCCAACTTGAGGAGTAATTAACTTTCCTTAACTTGTTGGAGCTAGAAGTCACATGTATTCATTTGAGGGGGCGGGGAGCTTAAAATCAACAGACCTGTATTAGGGTTTCTATTGCTGTGAAGAGACACCATGACCACGGCAGCTCTCATAAAGGAAAACATTTAATTGGAGCTGACTTACAGCTTCAGAGGTTTAGTCTATTATGGCAGGATATGGTGGCGTGCAGGCAGACATGGGAGAAGGATCTGAGAGTTCTATATCTTGTGATCCACAGGCAGCAGGAGATGATA